AAGCACCAAAAAAATGGAAGTCGAGCTGTGACTCAAGTAGTAGGGAGCTAGCCTTGAGGACAGTCCCTAGGCCCTGAGTTCAAGCCCTAAGACTGGCACCAATTATTTTTTTAAAAAAATATTTAAAGACAGGAGGATTGAAATTCAAGGATAGACCAGCCCTCTTCCCCCCCACCACCCCCCCCCCCGAAAAAAAATGTGACACCCAATCTTGAAAAACAGGCAAAACAAGTTAGAAGCACACCTATAATCCCAGCTACTCCAAAGGCAGAGGCAGAAGGAGACTACTCTGAGCCTGGCAAAAGCACAGGACTCTATCAAGAAAAATAAACTGAAGTATAAAAGATCTGAGGAAAGTGGAGGTGTGGTAAAGCATCCACCTCGATTGAACAAGCCAAGCAAGAATGTGAGCCTCTGAGTTCAAGTACCAGTACAGGCACAAATAAAGAAAAAGGGCTCAAAGATAGTTTAATTGGTAGAGTACTTGCCTAGCAAGCTCAAGGCCTTGAGTTCAAACCCAATTACCATCAAAAAAAAAAAGTCAACTGCTCTTCCTCTGAGGAAAAGCCAATAAGAGCACACAACCAGGAGCTATCTACATGCCAGGAAGCAGCCTCTTGCCACATACCAAATCTGTTGATCTATTAATTGTAGACTTCTTAGCCAACTTCTCAAAACTAGGAAAAATAAATGTCATTTCCAACACCCAGTCTATGGTATTTTTATTGCTGCAGCATGAGAAGACTGCCAGAGATAGAAATTTCAGTAATTTTTGTGAGATATTTATGAAAGGAAATGCATTGTTTGTACAACTCTAACAGCATGCTGCTAAAGAACTAAAAACCCAAATGAGGTACAAAGAGACATCCACCTAGGAAGAAATAAACCTAGAATGAGAAAATAGGAAGACAAACCACATTAATGGACATGACATCCACAAAGCAACTCCAACCTGCCCGGGAGAACTACTTCCTAGAGACCAGAGGAGTCTCTCAGCTATGAGCCACTATGATCAAATGCAGAACTGACTCAGGGAACTGGACTAACGACTACAGTCAGAAGTAATTACTCGGCCACTTAATAATCACATATCAACTTTTCACTGCCATAAAGAATTTTGCTGAAAGCTATAAGTAATATAGCAGCAAGCAGCCAAGTTCCTAGAAAGTTGCACAAAAACAGAATTTTTGATAGCTGTTTACATTGTTAGAAAAGTTGACCAAAATAATTCATTCCTCAGTATATCTGATGGAAAATAATACATACCAGTGAGATGAATCTCCAACATCTATACATGTAACTCAATTACCTGTCTACCAAGTTAGAATAACTACTTCCAAGTATCCTCTTCAACAACTAACTACACTTCTCATACTGTTCATCAATTTCCAAATTGAATTACTCTTTCCTTCTACTCCATTCTCTATTTCTACCCCACTCTTTCATACCTGTGCTCACTCTCTCTGTTCATTGCTTCAGTACACTGCACTGAACACACCAATCCTTCCTCTCTCTACTTTAGGTTTTGTCTGAGCCTAAAGCTCATAAACACAAAGCACCAGGGATTCCATGGGACTCCACTTTGGGAAGTAATGATCTTCTCCAAAATCTTAGTGGCTGCAACCCAACCGGGGGGGAGGGGGGGGGGGGTCAGCTTTGGAATCTGAGGCTTAGGGTTAGGGTTGCAGCTCCAGTTAGTAAGCAGCCTTAGGAAATTAACCCCAGTAAATGATTTTGTTCTGTAAAAAGGGGATTAATCCTTTGGCACTCAAAGGGTCCAGAGAAATTTGTTATAGTAACGTCATCTCCTATTTTCATCATTTTTTAAAGTCCCTTACTATGTGTAAACAGTAAATTTCAACTGTGTTTTAATATGAATCAAGCACACACCATATACTCAAATCAAAACAGTCAAGTGTTCTGAAGAATAAACACAAACGAAATATAGTTCCTATCTTGTGGAAGTTCACGATGTTATTAGGGAAATAAAAGTAGCAAAGTCATTAAGAAATAATAAAAGATGAGACATAAATATGAATATACCAGAAGGCAAGGGTAGAGTACAAACACTGTCAACCCCACTGTCAGGAAAGGCTTCAAAGACAGATATATAAGATGTAAGAATAGGCTTTATGACAAACTCATATTCAAAAATACATGAAGCTACTTACACAGGGCTTACAGGCATTCCTAAGCCATTACCAAACTGTTACCATCTCCTAAGAATGGCAAGTAGGTTCTGATCCAGCCACAACACACAGAAGACAGGTGTCAATGTCTTGATGATCTGGGTTCCTCTTATCTGACTGAATCCTCTCTCCTCACTTCACTCAAAGTTCTGTACAAAGGCCTCCCTGACCATCTTCATTATTCTCTGTCCCTTTCCCTGCGTAAGTTTGCTTGTTAGCCTATCAACACCTAATAAAAGTTGTTTGTGTGCTTATTAGACATCCTTTCCCATTAGAATGTTACTTTTGCACCAGTGGCTCACACCCATAATCCTAGCAAGACTTAGGAGGCTGAGATCTGAGGGTCACAGTTCAAAGCCAGCCAGGGCAGAAAAGTCCTTGTGAGATTCTTATCTCCAATTAATCACTCAAAAACCAGAAGTGGCACTGTGGCTCAAGTGGTAGAGCACTAGCTTTGAGCACAAAGAAGCTCAGGAACAGTGCCCAGGCCCTGAGTTCAAGCCCTACAATCGACAAAAAAGAATGTTACTTTCATGTGAATAGGATCTTTCTTTGTTCATTAATGTATCCCCTAGGGTTACACAGTGTCTGGATGTTCATTAAACATTAGTTAAATAAATATTAAATATACACATACTCACATATTCTTTTTAACCTTTCAGCCAATTCTCTCTCCACCTAGATTATGTGCAAGACAGGGAATTTGACATATTTTTTTGAAGACAACTTATTCTTATAAGTAGGAAGTAAAGGCCCAAAAACAAGGGCCTTCCCCAGGATAATATAACTAGTCAAAGGCAGAGAAGAGAGCTCTTACGTTTGTGACATGGTATGATGAAACTACATCAGGTATATGCAAAATGAAAAATGAAGACATCCATAAATACAAGTGGTAAAAGGAAGACTCTTCTGTGGGACAGTTCTACATTCTCCAATTGTACCCAAGGGACCTAACACACTCCTACTTCAGCGCATGCCCAAGCCTCTGTACAATGCTCCCTTTCCAAGTTTCACTCTCCTTAGCAGTTTGAAGGCCATCAGGAATAAGCACTAGGCAGAAAGGGGAAGAGGATGGAGGTTTAACTATTAACTATGACTGATAGAAAATTAATAAATACATATGTATAGGCCAGGTGGAACACACCTACTAGGAATGCTCAGGAGCACTTCCAGCCAGTCCTCCCACATTACCATGCAACGCTAACCACCTCACCAGAAGTCTCCCAGTACCCCTCTGCATTTTTTCCCAGGGTCCTGAGCTTTTACATCTCACAATCCCTCTGCTTCTTCTAGTGAGAATAATAGCAGGCAAACAAAATTCAAAAACAAACACCAACAGGGTCATTTTACCTATACAGTAGAAGAAGCGGTGGACTCAAGCAAAGACCAAGAGGTACACAACAAACATGCCTGGCCTAGTACAGCTCCAACTCTAACACAGGAAGTCAGGGAGTGCCTTGAGAAGCAGGCAGAAAAGCACAGGAAGTCTTTTAGCACTGCAGAGATTTCCAAGCTTGGTGTAATGGAGAGAGCACAGGAATAGGAATGAGAAGGCCAGGCTCCTAGTCCTAGTTGTGCAACTGGCTAACTAGGTAGCCTTAGGCAAGTCACTAGTCTTTTCTGGACTTTTAATTCCCTATCTTTAAAATGAAGTGGTTAAAACATGCTGGGAGTTGAGTTCTTCCTCCACTCCCCCCCAAAAAACAAAGATTTTAAAGGGTATTAACTGTTCTCCATCAAAAAGACACAGGAATGATCTTCATAAGAGTCTTCCAAGTTTTATGCAGGTTAAGAATTCCTGCAAAAGATGATGATGTCTCTGGTCCCTTCTATCTCTAACATTCTAGGATTCTAAGAGAATTAGATGTCTACGAACAATTGCTGCTTGGTGTACCTCTCACCATTTCACAGTATATATTCTCTGAACACAGACTAAATCCTAAAAACTCTACCTGACATCCCCCATACCTTGCCTATTCCAGACCCTAACTAGCTAGCTTATCCCTGGAGTCCACAACTCAGAATCCAGTCTACTAACAGCCACAGAAAGTTTTCTTCTATACCCCAGGGCATTCAAGAGACACAAAGTGTCCTAGAGGTGTAGCATGCAATTGAGAAAGTGCAGCAGGGACATGGCTTGTGCTCTCTTCAGACTCATTAGCGTACGTCACAAAATTAATGAGACAGCACCAGGGTATCCCCACTCTACCAAACTCCGTGCACTCCTCACCCTCCCTCGTGTAACTGATTTAACCCACAATCTAAGCCACATCCCCTTTGGTCTCTCTCTCGAGGTTTTTTGTTTTTTTTTTTCCCCCTTTTTCAACCTTTTCATAACTCCTCTTCAAATGTCTCTCATTCTCCATCCCAGCGAGCGCCCACGGCTGCCCCCAAAGTACCCTTTTCATGGGAGCTTTCCCACCAGGACCCCTGGTGGGGGTCCCTGTCCCAAAAGACCCGATTTCCCAAGGAACTGGGGAAGGACTTGAAGAGATGGACTGCAACCCAATCGTGTTCGTTTTTTTCCCCCCAAAACCTATTCGCTCGTGCTGCCCCTTGTCCTCTCGGGAACCAGGACCCGCCTGGAGACCCTGGGACCCTGCACGCCCTCGCTTCCAAGCCTGAGCTCGCCCACCTTCTCAGCCAGGCCGCGGCCCGCCCCCTCCCATCCCCACCAACCCACCGGGACCCCTCAAGCGTGCCTCCCGCTCCACGGCAGGCTCCTCCCCCTCCACGACAGAAGCCCCGGGGCCGCCCCTTCGGGCCCCGCCCGCACCCCGCGATAACGGGGCGCCCGTCCCGCGCGGTCACCTGCATCCCGCCGCCGTCGGCCGCTGCCTCCTCGGTGCGCGGCCGCTTGCTCAGGCCGGGCTCGGCTCCGTCTCCTCCCGCTCCGGGAACCGGCAGCTCCAGCTCCGACTCCCGCTTCATGCCCCGGGCAGCGGCGCCGGGTCCGAGCTGAGGCAGCTGCTGCGTCTGAGCGCCTTCCGCCATCCGCCCGTGCCCCCCTCGCCTCCGGGAGCCGGGCGACCCGCGACAGGCCACCTCCCCCTGGGCCTCGGCCCCGACTGTCGCGACAGGCGGGAGCGCGCCTGCCCCGCCCCCCGCGTGCGTGCGTGCGTGCGCGCGCCCGCCCGGCGCCTCAGGTTGCGCCGCGGCTCCTCCGCCCGCCGGCCGGCCCTGAGGGTCGTGGGCGCGGGACGCCGGTAGTCACGACGGCCGCCTCCTCACACACACACACACACGTGCGCGCGCGCCGTCCGCCAGACCGACCGGGCCGCCGCGCCTCCTCGTCCCTCGCGCTCCCGGGTCGCCGCCGGCCCGCGACGCTCACTCCCTCTCAGCCCCTCACAACACGCCGGCCGCGGGAGGAAGGGGGCGGTCCGAGCTCCCGAGGCGTGGGGTGGGCTGTTTATTTGGAAGGAGGAGGGACGCGCCGCAGGAGCGAGCTGACTGGCCCGGATCCTCCGACCCGCCACAGTGGCAGCACCGGGAAGGCGGGGAGAGGGAAAGGAGGAGGGAGGGATCGGGACGTCGGACTCGGTCCCGCGCCGGAGGCTGTGGCGTGGGGGCGGCGGCGGCGGCTGAGTCCGCGGAGGGACGGGGCCAGAGGGGCGGGGCACGGCGGTGGGCGGGGCTTTTTGAGGGGCGGGGCCAGCGCCCCTCGTCAGTCTCCGCTGCCTTCGCGCCGGCCTCCCGAGGGAAGCCGGGAAGGAGTCGGGAAGGCTCGGGAATCTCCGGCCTGGGCCCGGGAAGGTCCCACAGGCCCGGGTGGCTGGAGGGGGCGGGGCCCCCAGAGGTCCTGAGACCTGAGATTTTTCTTCTCCCGCTTGCAGGGCGAGGTCTGAGCACTTGTGACCCGAGCTCACCTACCTGGCTACCTGTGCTCGTGGAGCGGATACGAAGATCGGGGCTCGCAAGATGGGAGGCGGGGAATGAAGGCACTCCTCCAACCAGTTCTGAGAGCTTTTAGCCTATTAATTATTACCACATCCCTGATCATCTTAATACCGGATGTTCCTAAGAGCTTTGCAGTTTGTGCGATTGAGTCACACCCCCGTTTTGAGGCTGGTGATGGAGGTAGGGAAAATTGTCTCCTTTCCATCAATAATCCTGAACTTCCTCAAGTACCGAAAGAAAAAAATAATGTGACCCATCCAGATCGCTGGAGGCCAGGGCGCATTCTCTTTCTCTACACTCTGCTGCCTGAGTAGCACTTCATTGCTTCTCAGCCTCTTGCACTTAGAGATGTATGCAATAAGCATTCTCTCCTATTTCTCTCCAGACTGTAAATAACCAGAACTGCATACACTTTCTCAAGGATCAATGTCATATTTTGTATTTTTTTAATGGGGAAGGGGGAATGTTAGGTCTTGTTATATGCATGAGCTGGATTCTAGTGCAGTAACTTTATTTCTTTGGCTTCCCAACTGCAACATCTGTGAAAGAAGGGAATGTTTTCCATCAGTGGTTCTCAACTAGAAGCCCATTTTTGCTTTTCCCCCACCCCCCACTCCCATATTTCTCGATGTCTGGAGACATTTTTATTGTTACAGCTAGGAGTTGCTGCTGACATCTGTGGAATAGAGGCTAAGAGGGCTGCTCAATATCCTGCCTTGCACAGGACAACCCTCCCCCCCCCCCCCAGCCAAGAAAGAGTTAACTTGCCTAGAATGGCAGTAGTTCAGAAATTGAGAAACCCTGGGTTTGATGATTTATTTCTAAGGTCATTTGCAACCAGTCCTTGACTTGGTCTTTGAACTTGCATTAAGTTGCTAGAACTAAAACAGTACAGAAGTTTCACTCTACTTCAGAGTCAAACAACACAGGTGGAGCCCAGGCTTCCCTACTTATTGTGAAGTTAATGTTGGACCAGTGGTGACCAGAGTTCCCTTACAGAAAGTGTTTCAGGGCTTGGAAAATAATAGGAAAAGACTGGATGACTTACCTTGAACCTGGATTTTTTTCTTAGTGAGCTGCAATATAATACTTATTTAGCTCAACCATGCACAAGTCATAATGCCTTCTGGACACTTAACCTCTCTATCCTTCAGTTTCTTCACTGGAAAATTAGAATAATAATAGCATCTTCCTGAAATGATTATTATAAGGAGCAAACATTAAGAACTTTGATCAGAACAGGGTGGTAGTGGCTCACAAAGTTAGCCACTAGATAGAAAAAAAAAAAAACATGGAACTCCATTTCCAATTAACCAGTAAAAAGCTAGAGGTGTAGCTTGAGTGGTAGAGTGCCAGCCAAGCAGGTACACTGAGCAAGCATGAGGCCCTGAATTCAAATGCCCCTTGAAGACTGTATTCAAAGCTGATGGGGAAATGATTGGATCATGAGGGCTCTGACCTAATCTATGCCTTAATCATTGATAAATTAATAATTGAAAGCATTATTGGTACTTGGAGGACGTTGTGAAACCTAAGGCCTGATTGGAGAGAGTGGGCTACTAGGAGCATTTCTTAGAAGTGTCTATCTTGTCCCTGGCCTCTTCCTCAGGCTCTGTCTCCAGCCCACCAGAAGATGAGCTACTTTATTCTATCACATGCCCTCTGCCAGGATGTTCTACCTCACCATCCTCAGACTTAGAACCCATTGGGCCAAATGACTATAAGTCAAAACAGTGAGCCGAAGTAAATCCTTCCTCTCTTAGATTATTTTCTCAGGTATTTTGTCACAACCACAATAAAGAACTAGCAAAATCAGAATGGCCTGTGGTAAGCGTTCATACATTAATATTAATATTAAATCGTACCGTTATTATCTCATTCACATTGCAAATGAGAATGATAAAGTACTTGTCAAGATGAATCATTACTATGATTGATGTTTCTTATAAGGTGACTTGGGTAGGACTGCTTACAATTTAGATGGGACAAAGTTCCTCAAGCTACCCTTTCATTTATTTATTTATTTTTACTGGTCATGGGCCTTGAACTCTGGGCCTGGGCGCTGTCCCTCAGCTCTTCAGCTCAAGGCTAGCTCTCTACCACTTGAGCCACAGCACCTCTTCCAGCGTTTTTGTTTCTGCTTATGTGGTGCTGAGGAATCGAACCCAGGGTCTCATGCATGCAAGGCAAGCACTCTACCACTGAGCCACCTTCCCAGCCCCTCAAGCTACCCTTTATATAACCACTAACACTTAGCAAATTATTTCCACTGACTTACATTCCTCATTTGTAAAATGACAATAATAATCACAATGTTGTTCTGAGCATTAAATGAGATCTAATAAAACACTTAGTAGAATGCGTAACATAGTAACAGCCTGGTAAGTAGTAATTATTTATTATCTAAGCTATCAGTGATAGAAAGCTATGGATTAGAGGCCCATGGGGTTGGAAAGAGAAATTTATCTTTTAATATTACAGTATTATTTCTACAACCAATATTTTAGGTCCACACACTTGCAAGCTTATCCCTCCCCCTTTTTTTATTGTGAAAATACTGTACAGAGGGGTTACAATTACATGGGCAAGATAATGAGTACATTTCTTATCAAGCATTGTAGCCTCCTCCTTTGTTTCCCCTTCCCATCCCTTCCCATCCTCCCCCCCATCCTCCCCCCTTTTTTTTTTTGCAAGTCCTGAGTGTCAGACTTTGGGCCTGGACAGTGTCCCTGAGTTCCTTTTGCTCAAGACTAGCGCTCTACCACTTTGAGTCACAGTGCCACTTTTGGTTTTCTGCTGATTTTTTAGAGATAGGAGTCTCACAGACTTTCCCTAACCAGGCTGACTTCAAACCGCAATCCTCAGAGCTCAGCCTCCTGAGTAGTTAGGATTATAGGCATGAGCCAACAGCACCCAGCTTTTTTCTTTGTTTAATTGAAGAGTCTCACAGACTTTCCTGCCCAAGCTGACTTTTAACCACAGATCTCAGCCACCTGAGTAGCTAGGATTATAGACATGAGCCACCAGTACCTGGCACAAGCTTATTCTTGAGTTGAATTGGACAGTTTCAAATTAAGTCTGGAGTCTCATGCTAGCAGTACCCTATAACATATGGAGCCTGATCCTGTCCAGTCCAAGCATTATAGCTTTGAAGAGAAATCAAGATGGTTCCCAGTGGTCTGTAGAACAATGATGGTTTCTGTTTTTATCCTAGGCACATCAGCACTTGCTTTTCTGAGAAATTTACTTACTGAACTGATGTCTTAGGAATTCTTGTCCCCTCCCTATTTGCTTTGCCAAATACTAAAATTTAAATCATCATAAGTCCTTCCTGGGCTACCCCAGGACCAAGTAAGAAATGAGATTCGGGGTCAGAGCTGCCTTTGACTCAAACTATTGTTATTCAACTCCCTAAAATATAGCCATGCAGTATAGGAATGACTGTTCAGGCAGAGAAAAGAGAAATTGGACTGTGCTTTGTAAACAAGAATTAAGCACTTAGAGAAAGAGAATAGACAGAGGCCTATGAATCATAGAAGAATCAAAATGATGAGCCCACAGCAGCAGAAAAACACATAATTTATTTTATATATAGCTGCTGCTGCTGATTGTTTGGAAACAGGTAGTTATGAAATATTACAGAGGAAAAACACAGTAAAGAATATTTTTCTTAGTAATAAGTTTTATCTGTGAACTACCAAAATCCTAACATTGGTTCACTTATTCCCTAAAGAAACTATAGAGAAGCATCTGGAATACCAAGATGAGTAAAATTTATTCTTAGTACCAAATAGAAAGAAGGGCATGAACAAATAAAAAACAGTTGTGATACAGCATGTTAAGATGGTCCTCTTTCCCACTGATCAAGAACATAGACTCTGGTGTCAAACAGACATGGGCTTGAGAGAGTGTGTGTATGTGTGTATATTATATGTGTGTGTGTGTATGTGTGTATATTATATATATATGTGTGTGTGTGTGTGTGTGTGTATTATATATATATATGTGTGTGTGTATATTATATGTGTGTGTGTGTGTGTGTGTGTGTGTGTGTATAGTTGACTTTAATAAATACATTAGCATCTTCCTTTGTGAAACGGGACTAGTGATTACCAACTCAATCTTCATTCTTTTACTGTGAGTAGAATCCCAATTT